GGAGTCGGGTCCCGTCACTATCGTTTCTGCCCGACAGCAGGCAGAGATCCAATGGCAGGAGCTCTGCGAAGATCCGGCCATGCAAGCTTGCCATGAGCTCTTGGAGAGATTGGATGAAGAAGAACAACAAGAAGCAGATAAACATCAGGATGAACAGGCCACTCGGTAACTAATGTCATGAGTTGCGGATCTTATCATTCCTGCATTTCGGAAATAGCTTCAACAGGAGCCTGCGACTGACGTGCCGGAGGGGTCTGGGCCATCGGTCGAGGAGCAGACTCGAACATCGCGAGCTTTGTTATCTGCATCCTCCACAACTATCCCCGATGAGTTGCTGAAGAAGTGGCCGCTTCCTGCCGGCTGCACCATGCACAAGACTGTTTTCTGCGACCGGGTTCTGCCGCACTATCAGGGAAAGCTGTGCGGGGGCAGGATGCATGATGGCAAGCTGCTAGCCTGCATTATTCATGAACTTTTCGTGCTCAACAGGGGGTACGAGCTCGTTTGGTGGAAGCTGTTCCGAGGAACTCTTGCAGTGCCAGCTTCAATCCATCTCTGAGCCGAGATAAGATTGATCAGAAGCTTCGGACCATTTCTTCTGTTCCAGCGAGGAACAGGTCCGAAGCACAAGCTTTCTTCATTGTGCATTGCTGGCTCGCAAAAGCTTGCGAGGGTCCCGCTTCGAAGAAGCGACGCACACGGGGCGAGTAGGATGCAATGTGGGCATCAACCGGGGCAAAAAGGAACAGGCGAGCGAGCACGATGATCCCGTTGCAGCACGATCTTTGAGCCAGCTGGGCTTCTGTAAGCTTTGATTAAGAGCTGGACACCACGAAGGCAGAACTCCATAAACTTCATGCTGGTTTAGGGTTTAGGGTTTAAACCCTAAAACCTAAACCCTAAAACTCTAAACCGTTGGTTTCGTGGCTTAGGTTCGAAGTTCGAAACTCCAAAGCCTTACCCACAACATTCTCGAACGAAAATACCCGAAGTACCCTACTCTATAGAAATGCGACGACGGTGCTCGTTCTGCATGTGTTCCCTCCTGGACGCTAAACCCCTAAACTTTCCCCAGACCCTAAACCCCAAACCCCTAAACCCTCTCATCGGCGTGGGGCTGAGGGGCATTTACCGTTTAGTTCCTCATGCATTTTGGGGTTTAGGGTTTAGGGGTTTGGGTTTTCAGTATAACACCAGATAACAGAACAGAACATAATATGGCTTCATATGACATAATAGAACAGACTAAAGCAGAATGCAACAATAGTAAAGCATGTTATATGAAAACATACAATACAAATCTTCAAAACGACTCCCTGGTGACCCTTTCAAGCGGGACTTGCTTGTTAAAGAACCTCGTGTCCCCTGAATAGTGCTTTGCTATGCCCACGCCCTACTTAAAGGGTCATGGGACTTAGTAACTGAGTTATAATACAGGAAGCTATACTTCTAAGCCCAATTAGGGTACTTGCTGAAAAGCATGCCACCTTTGTAGCTCACGTCACGTGTACATGTGAAACGTTTTCCTCTTTTGCTCTTTAGGCCCGAACAGTACAGCCTTGAGCAATGCATTTTAATCACATTTGCACATGCATCAACATTGGTGTCATGCCCTAGTCATGTTTCTGATCTTTTGCTTGCGTGTAAAACCTCCGTGTTCGAGTGAGCCATGGGCAGTTGGGAAGACTCTGCTAGGGGATTAGCTACCCCACTAGTAGCTTCCGCTTCTATGCCTGCTGGTTCACTCCAGCAGGTTATGAGCCCAACGCTTGGGCAAGGGCACTACGGCACCCTGGGCACTATGCCATCCCCACCACCCGGGAGGGATGGTCACCCAGGTACACAGGACGCAACACCAACACCTGCACAAGTGCACATTGCAGGTGGAGTAGGCTTTGCGTCCCATATGGCTGCGGGAAGGGCATCTGGAAGTGGGGACCCAGTAGAAGGCACACCCCAGGTGTCGACCACCACTGATGGTGGGATTGCTCGTGCGCCCCGAAGTGCACTGCCGCAAAGCACAGCTCCGGGCGGAAGCCCAGGACCAGAGACCAACGCCAGCGCACATCAAGCCGTATCAAATGAGGCCGGTCTGGCTACGGATTTGAGCGGAGGTGGAGTGTTGGGGGGTATAAGGTCAACTGGGGAGACCGTGGGAGCCGAGGGGTTTGTTACCCCGAGGTCGCAGCAGGGATTGCCTACCATCGCCGAAGTGGTAGAAGGGTTACCTGCTACAGGTTTTCAACTCATGTCGAGAGTTGGGGAATTTTTCCGTGTAGCGCGCACTGAGGTGGTGCAAGTACCCGCCGCAGTGTTGCAAGGCACACACGCCACGCCACCACGAACCACATCACAAACTCGCGATAGTCCGAGTGGCGCTTCAGGGCATTTGGCCTTGGGAGATGGAAGTTTGGGTTCGCATACAAGCTCGCCACCACAAATGGGAGCGCATGGTACTCCAACATCCTTTGCACAGCCTCCCGGAAGGGATGGCCCTTTGCTAAGTGCTGAAATGCTGCAGCGCATGCAAGCCTCGGAGCAGAGGGCCCCGGTATTGTACGGTAGAGGGCCTGAGAGGCCACAGAGTCGCACCGACTCGTCATCATTCCCTCAAGAAGCCATTCAAGCTGAGGTTGCACGGCAGCTAGCGGGGTTTGGTGAGAGAGCTGAGGCCCAGGACCTTGAGATACAGAGGTTAAGGAGGCAGCTGGAGGAGAGAGACCACATGTTGAGGGAAGTAGTGGTAGCAAACACTGCCCCGCAGACAACCACACCTACTTCGCCGCTACTCCAACATGCCCAATCACAGGTCACTCAGGTTGTCAGTCCAATCACATCTCAGGTACAAGGTGTGGCACCTCAAGCGGTTGATGCCAGTAGGACTGTGGCACCCGCTATTCAGGCTACATCTTTTCCCGGTTTGTTGTCGAGTTTCATGTCCGGGTTGGGAGGTTTGCGTGGGTCTGCAAGGGATGCAAGCGCGCCTCCACCCGGAAGGGTTGGACATCAGACATATGCCAATCCAAATCGCGCGTCTCCTCCCGGAAGGGCTGGGATCGGACCAACAGCGGGTGGTCTGGCCTCTTCTGGCCCAGACTCCCAATCTCGCGTCGAAAACCCCAGTCTGGAGGAGATCAGGGCCTTTAGTGCCCATGCCGACATTGCAACGCCAGGGGGAACACGATTGCCTCAGGCACCACCCCCACCAGGGTTGCAAGGAGGCTCAGTTCCAGGAGGAGCGGTTCCCATACCGCATGAGGGGACTCACGGCCTTGCGTCAGGCAACCCCGCATTAGATGCACTAATCCTAGGAATGCAACAACTACAAAGCGTGCAATTGCAGCAACTCCGGGGTAAGGATAGTGATGCTCCTGAAGTGGTAAAGCCCGGCACCTCAGATTTGCCCAAACTGGCCACTCCAGACCCCTCAACAGGATCCCTGGATTTCCAGGATTGGTTACAACTGGTAAGTGGTTTGATGGGTGACCTTTCGGACACTTCGGGCTCCTGGTGGGCGGCTGTTCTGCAGGTGAGCCGTGACGCCTATGAGAGGTGGGTAGTTTCAAGTCCCATTGAGCGTTTGCGCATAGAGCCTGATGACAGACCGGAGTTGGTAGAGGGCAAATGGAGTCGGGTGAATGCTAGGGCGTGTGTGATGCTTTTGGGTGCCCTGGATGAGACGGTTAAGGCGGACCTCATAGCCCGTAAAACCACGCGGATGGCTACACACATTCTGTTCAGGTTGCACCCAATACCTCCCGGGAGGGACGGCTGAGAGGTCTTTAGTGTTGACCAACTTGCAGCATCCAGCGGAGGTGGACAACGCAACGTCAGGCGTGTTAGCTTTGAGGGCTTGGGGTAGGTGGTATCAGCGCTGCGTGGATTGCGGCATGAATTTACCGGATCCCATGGTCCTGGTGAGTGCCCTCACCTCAATGACTAAGCCAGTGCTTCGTAAGGAACCGGAGGTAACATGGCGCACGGAGCTAGTGAAGAGCACATTGCAGCTCCACGGACGCCCCTCGGAAGAGGCGGTCAGGTCTTATCACAGGCATTTGTTGGCTGAGTTTGAAACGCTAGCCGGAGCAATGGTGCCAGTGAAGTCTGACGACGCCCACGTTCCACAGCTCAAGGCAGTGAGCGCAAATGAGGCAGGTGAACGTGTCAGTGGGGCGGGTGGCACACCATGCAAGTTCTTTTTATCGCCTAAGGGCTGCAGGTTTGGCCAAAAGTGCCGATACGCACATTCAATGGCCGAACTCTCTAAGGATGAGCGGTTTAAGAAGTGCTTGAATTGTGGTTCCGAGGAGCATCGCGCTAAGGATTGCAAGGCAGGTAAGGCGGAACCCAAAGCGCCAGATCAGAAACCGTCCGTACAGGCAGCTTTCACATCCTCAGGCCAACCCGTTGTCCAAGCCACCCCAGTGCTCAACATGGACACCTTCATGCAACAGGCAGTTCAAGCCTTAAGGCAGTTGGAGGCCAATCCACCGCGCAGCGACACCACACCACATGCCCAGCCGCCTCAACCTCAGCCGGAAGGCTTGAGTACTGCATCGCAGCAGCCCTCAGCGCCACCGGCATCGTCCGTACCCGCATCGTCCACACCCAATCCTTCGGTGAAGAGGCTGACGATTCGCTCAGTCGTGCCCGAAAGCTGTTTCCCGGTTTCGGGCCCCCCAAACCGGGACTCCCAACCCTACCATCAGGAGGCTCCAACTCGGGGGTTGGGAAATGCCGAAAATCAGGGTGGGACAAACCCCCATTCTCGAGCCGAGAATGGGGGGTTGTCTGTGGCCCCCAAACCCATAGCATATGCGCTTTTGGACTCCGGTGCCACACGCCCCATGCGGCAAGCATCATCTGAGGAGGAGTGGGAGGCCACAGAGGAGGTACAAGTGAGTTTAGCCGGCGACCAAACCACAATCATGCGTTTGACGCGCGTGGGCACTCTCCTACTGCCTCCCGGGAGGGACGGCCTGGTGCAGCCAATTGTCCCCATGGGTGCCATCATAGAGCAGTTGGGATACAAGCTAGTTTGGTCCGCTGGTAGTTGCAAGCTTTATCCTCCTGATGGTAAGTCGCTGAGGCTTCGGGTCAAAAATGGTTGCCCAGAATTGGTTGAGAGCCAGGCCCTCACATTGATATCACAGTTGGAGAAATGCACGGTGACCCGACGTGGGATTGAACGCAACACATCCCCAACTTCGCACCCCTCGGTTGCATCTCACTCACGCTTGAGCCCTCATACCACTGAACGCCCAGTGGAGGATGGTTCCCAGCGTAGTGGTTCCCACACGTTGTGGTTCAGGTTGGACGCCAGCGATGGGGATGACGACAATCCCGCAGGATGCAATATCAGCGATGGCATCAGGGATTTAAGCGTTTATGACTTGGATTGGACGCGCCTGCCACATTCCCCACTCGGAAGAGATGGGTATACAGCAATACCAGATCTACCGCAGTGGTGTACGGGTGAACTTTGTGTAGATGGTTCTGGGGCGTTGTGTGGGTTTGGGCCGCGTGACGTCCAGCCAACCGTCCACAAGGTCCTAGCCACCAAGCTAGGAGGAGAGCGCGAAACCACAGTGCCCAATAGTGTTGCAGTCCCAGCAACCGCCTTCCGGGAGGGTGGGACCCACAACACACGCCGACGTCTGACGGCAAACCTCCTTTTCCAACTGTTGTTGTGGCTGCTCGTACTTGTCGTCCTTCGCATAAGCTTGCCTTCACTTTGCACCGGCGTGTTCAGGACACTGCCCTCAGCAGCTACAGGCACTCCAGTACCGTACTGGGTTGAGGAGGAGCCGTGCGTTAGGTTGCTTGGTTTTAGTGGCACAGTACCAGGACCTCCAGTCCAGGAGGAGTCCCAACAACTTTTCGCAGGAAGTGTGCCGCTCAAACTTTTGTGTTTTGCCGCAGTACCGAAAGGCCTTGTGACAGCAGCCTTTTGGAGCGTGCTCGGGTTTAACCTGTTCCGCACTGCGGAAGCAAGTGCAGTTGGTCAACGTGATCAGCCGGTGAGTGCTTTATTCAGGCTTGTTTTCTTCCTGCAAGTCATAGGCGCTGCTAGCCAGGCAGCAGACGAGGAAGAAGACTTGTCTCTCCCTGTGTCGCTTGATGCAGATTTGATGTTGGCAGTATCCATCATTTGCATTGGCATTTGCTTCATTGCAGTGTGGGAGTTCTGCAAGTGGTGCCTTCAAGGCGTCATCTCCCGCCGAAAGGCAGGGACACCCGTGTTGTCCCTGAGCCCCCGCAAGGCGCGTAAGTTACAGCGCCTTCGAGATCAAACTGCGCAGGCCATCCAGGCCGAGATCTCTGCACGTGAGGAGGCAGCAAGCTCGCAGTCTGTTGCTGCAGTGCCCAGACGCCGCCCCTCACAAACAACTCGCACGCGTGAGCAGGCAGGTGGAGCACCAACGCGCTACTTTGCAACACCCGAGGGGACCAAGCTCCACCGCACTAAGACCTGTTCCACGCTCGCCCACTCGCACAGGTTTGTTGAGTTTCAAGTGTGCCAGCAGTGCCACCGGAGTGCTGCCGACCACACCCAGCACAGCACAGGGTAGGAACTACTCCACCCTAACGGGTTGGATCTTTCAGTGAGCTTCATCCGCAGCTGTGTCTTTTTCCGCACGAGGTGCCTTGAGAGCCCTCGCAGAGTGAGGGCAGTTGGCCCAGCTTTTGCCAGGTAGTTCAGGGTAGGCATGGCGTCACCCTGACGGGTTGACCTGCAGTAGCAAGTAGGTCGCAACTCCCTGGCGGGGCTGCGAAGGAGGAGTGCTGAAAAGCATGCCACCTTTGTAGCTCACGTCACGTGTACATGTGAAACGTTTTCCTCTTTTGCTCTTTAGGCCCGAACAGTACAGCCTTGAGCAATGCATTTTAATCACATTTGCACATGCATCAACATTGGTGTCATGCCCTAGTCATGTTTCTGATCTTTTGCTTGCGTGTAAAACCTCCGTGTTCGAGTGAGCCATGGGCAGTTGGGAAGACTCTGCTAGGGGATTAGCTACCCCACTAGTAGCTTCTGCTTCTATGCCTGCTGGTTCACTCCAGCAGTACTTATTATAACCTTACTTACTAAGTCCCATACATCCCTTATAGTACCCTTATACATCCCTCTAACGATCCCTTTAAGGAGCCCTTTATATAACCCTACTTACTAAGTCCCATGACCCTCCAAGTAGACCCCCATAAACGCCGAAACTCCCCGGCTCTTAGCGGGGGATGTGTTATAGGGACTACTACGGTTGATGATATAAATCCTGCATGACCCATTCTAAGGAGTATACCATAGTTCCCATAGTTTAGGGTTATTAAGGAAATGCAGGATTCATATCATCAACCGTAGACCGTCACTTCTCTAGCTACAACCAGGGAGTGAATCCAATACCCCAGCCCTGATCACTCAAGCCGTCAAAGGCCTGCGCCCTACTTGAAGGATCATGGGACTTAGTAACTAGGGTTATAAGTAAGGTAACTATACCTATAACTACTTATAACCCCAATCAAGGTACTTATACCCATACTTACTAAGTCCCATGATCCTCCTTATAAGTCCCCTAAGTGGGATTATCCTATTTATTACGTACTTATTACCTTACTTTCTAAGTCCCATGAACCCTAAACCCTAAACCTTTAAGCAACCCCTAAACCCTAAACTCAGACCCCACAAACCCGACCTGCCCTTCGTGGAAGAATCTCCGCTCGGGTCGATCTTCCAGTTGAAGGGTCTGCGTGCCGTCAAGACCAAGAGGACCTTTAGATTCTGGCTTTAGGATTTTTTTTTGGTTTGAGGGCTCTTTTCCAACTTGGTTCGCAGGAATGCCTCACCAGGCTCAGCCTGTGGCTTTAGGAGTTTTAGGGGTTAGGATTTGGGGTTCAGGATTTAAGCTTTAGGGCTTCGGTTTCAGGGTTTTGCGTTTAGGGTTTGGGGTTTGGGGCTTAGGATTATGTGTAATGGTTTCGTCCAAGGGTAAAAGGCGGGACCCTTAACAAGGACCCCATATACCCCTAGTACAGCTACTATATACCCATTATATAGCCCATTATAGGGTAGGGGTCCCCATTAAGGGTCCCTCCTTTTCCCCTTTGAGTTTAGTAGGGATTAGAGCTTGGGGTTGAGGGTTCAGGGTTAAGGGTTCTAACCCCCCCTAGAACCAGAACTATGAAAACAAAATGTGTAACTTAGAACATTCTCTTGGGTTTTAGATGAACAAGAATGAGAAATAATTCTAAGGAGGCTATAGGAAGCCTGACTTCTGGTTTTCAGCATTTCACTGGCTTATAGGATGTAGTAGGGGTGATTGGGGCTTGCAGGGCTCCGGCATCCTAAATTGTGTCGTGTATCTGGGGTTTGGTTTGAGGCCTTCTACATAGAAACTTGTCGCTGAGTTCATAAGCCCCAAACAGTGCACACTTTCAGTTTTACAGTGGGTAGAATGATTCCAAAAAGTGTAAAGTGCATCCACTTAGCTACTAAGGAAACACACAAGTGTCCCCCCCAAAGAAGGGGCAACCACACCCTAAACGTTCAGTCCCTTCGTTATGCCGCGCCCCACTCGTCCATCTAGATGTTGGAAGTGACGATTACGCCGTGCTTCTGCAACAGGAAACCCTCGCAAAAACCGATGCGCGCCCCACCCGCTGGTCTGCGGCAGGACGCTGGGTCTGAACGCTAAACATTAAACCCTACTAAACCTCAAAAACCTAAACCTTAAACCCTGAACCCTCGCTTCAACCTCATGCCGTGGGACCTGGCTGCCCTGGTGACATGAGCTGCTTCTTCTTCAATTTTAACCTCGGCGGGCAGTGCTGATGGCGTTTCTTAGCTTTGGTTAGTAGGGAATGGAAGAATGGTAGTAATAGTATAACCCCGTTCCTCCATTCCCTACTAACCAAAGGTAAGGTTTTGGGTTCAGGGAGTCAGGGCTTCAGGGTTTAAGGTTTTGGATTAAGGGTATAAGGTGGACCCCTGATGAAAATTCCCATGCGGAAACGCCTATGGCCATCTGACAGTCGAGCCCAACCCCCAACCCTGAAAAAAGCCTACCTGCTTCTATACTGAACTTAGAACCCTAGCAAAAATTATAATTTTAGCTGTTTCTTAGGGATTATAATAACAAAAAATTAAGAATTATTCCTAAGTGCCCCTAAGGCTTCTGGTGCAGTCGGGCAGCAGCTTCTGGTTGTCAAGATCGAACTCCTAGTGCACACAGTCTGGGCCGTTCTGGCGAGCCCTTAAACTAGGTGGGGCTTTTAAAGCCTTTGAAAAATATTAGTAAATAAGATCCTCTTAAGCCCAATAAGGGAAAATATAGATTGTCCCAAAGCCCTACCTAGTTAAAACATACAGTTTAGGGGTTTACGGCTTCGGTCTCCTCAAGACGATACTGTGCCAAGCTAAGCCCCTCAGCCCCAAACCCTAACCCCAGACTAAGTGGGGAAGTGCAGGCGTGAGGGAGTGAGGGAGCGAGGGCGCTAGAGGGAGTGCGGGAGCGAGAGGGAGTGAGGGAGTGAGGGAATTGAAGAGGGAGAGGGAGAGGTAGAGGGAGAGAGCGGAAGAGCGGGAGTGAGGGAGAGAGGGGGCGAGGGACCAAAGAGCTATGGCACATGGCCCTGCGTATTCTCCTTCATTTACAACACCCAAACTTGGTCTCGGGGTTGTCGCCTTGGGATTTCAGGGGTTGTTTAGGATCATGGGTCTTCGGGTTTACCTTAAACTACCAAACCCTACTTTTTGGTAGGTTCTTATTCTAAGCCCTAATATGGAATTTCTAGGGGGCCCTACAAAAAGTACAGTAGAAGCCAGAAAGTTGGAATATGATTATCCTAAACCCTTTATGGTAAATTATAGGGTATCCTACCCTGAAACCATATTCCAACTTTCTGGAGTTCCCTTTAGGTTTTGGTAGGTTAAGGTAAGGTTTACAAGCAGACGGATTTCGGGATCAGGGCCCAGGGTTCAAGTGCCTTAACATGTGGGGTTTCCGAAAATTAGGGGCACCTTATTTTGGGGGTTCTTATATATAATAAGGATCCTACTATGTAGGATACGTTATTAGGGTCCCCTATCTTCGGAAACTCCCATACTTTTTCTAGGATTCTACGCGGGTTTGTGGAAGCTCATAGCAACATCTAACCTTGAGTGATTACCAGCTTACTCCTTTAAGGCTCCTTCTTCTGATAATACCATGATCAAGGAACCCAAAACCCTACTCCAATCATGAAGGCCCCTACATTACATGAAGGATCATGGGACTTAGTAAGTAGGTTACAGTTGGGGTTGTAAGTCCCCTAAGTGGGGTTATCCTAATTATAACTTACTTATATCCTTACTTACTAAATCCCATGAACCTTCAAGTAGGGCACAGTCCTCAAACCCTACCACCGTGGCCACGATTTTGCGGGGTTCTATATGGGTTCTATAAGGGTCCTACAAGAGTTTAGGGGTTTAGGGCTTAATGGGTTTAGGGGCTTAGGGTTAAGGCTTCAGGCTATAGTGGGATAGGGTTCTGGGTTCAGGGTTTAGGGCTTGGGGGTTTAGACTTTGGGGTTCGGGATATCTTTGCTGATCTGTCTGGCAGCTATCCGGGGACTTGAACCAAGTTCCGCAGCAGCCCCTTAACAAAAGCTACCCTTCTTCCTACAATTCCGTTGGGCCTGTGGTTTTAAGGGTTCAGCAAAGTGTTCGACCCCCTACAACAGTTGTGCTGACTGAACCCTGAACCCTAAACCAACAACCTCCCATCCGAAATTACTGAACTCTAAAGGGTTTAGGGTTACGGTAAACCCCGCACCCCACAGTTGCTATAACCCCCGAACCCAACACCGTTCAACTGAAAGGTCCTAAGCTTAAAGCTCGGAGACAAACCAGTGTGTCGGGCTCTGAATTCCCCTGAATCCTCATCCGTGCATGGGTGCATGACTTGTGGGATCAACCCTCCTTCTGCTACAGTGGGGAGATTTACTTGACCTGCCGGCCCCAGACCCCATCGTCCTTCCGTAGCTCGAACTGCCTCCCATCTTCATCAGAATCGAATGCCTGGGTAGACTAGGGTGGTGGGGCATATTATGGCCCCATTATTCTGGGAGTATAAGGGGAACACTACTGACTGTTTAGGCTTCGGGTTCTGTGATAAGCTGTAGTGGAATTTCACTCAGGCACGATCCGGAAACTCCCGCCCCGGTGGGCTAAACCTGTGAAACGTCACACTAATGCTGATGGACATCCGGCAGGATCGGAGTACTGGAATATAGGGGCCTTAATAATTAGAACAGGGTCTTGGGGCCCATTACACTATAACTATATTAATGAGCCCCCAAAATAGTATTGGTGATTATTTCGGTTATTGGAGTCATCCCCATAGGGTGGGGAGTGTGAAGCAGGAGTTGGCCCACCAGAAGTACTACCGCATGTATTGCTTGGGGCTTTAAGGGTTTAGGGTTTAGGGGCATGTAGTGTGGGGCATGTTGAAGGGCGTCGGGCATCAAGTTCTGGCTTGCCCACTTGGTTTTCAGATCCTGCAACACAGTGGGGGTTTAGGGTTCGGTACACATCTAT